GGATTAACCCATTCGTGTGCTGCCATGGAGCGGGACAGGAAAGGAAAATTACGGTATGTGTTAGGATCCAGAGCGCCTCCAGGTGGCGCTGGAGCTGAGCCCTGCAGTTCCTGGGCTCACCTGCAGGATTCTCCAGGCAGCCAGGGGCTGCTAGGTGCCAGACCACCACTGGGTGGTGCTGGTACCTGCAGCTCCAGTGCTCACCTGTGGGTGTTTCCCAGCTGCCAGGAATCAGCCCATTAGGTATTTCTCCTGGGAGGGTATTTAAACCCTTCCTGCAGTCTGGACCTTGGCTCAGGATTTCGTTGCTTTCCCCTGTTGTCGGAGTCTTCTGGCCTGAACCCTGAGACCCTGATATTTGCATGCTATTTTAGTACCCTGTTTCCTGTGTTGTTACATTATTGGTTTATGCCTGTTGTTGCTAGGTTGCTAGGTTTATTAAAATATTCATATATACCATACTTACCTGGTCCGTGTGGTCACATGTGTTTGGTCTGCCTGTAAGGGTACCTGTGCAGGTGTGGGGTCACCTGCGCCGGGATCCCTGACAGTAAGTATGAAATACAATTTTCCTCTTATACTTCTATTGGTCCACCTTGACACAATGGAAGTTTTCATAAATTATCCGTGGCAGGACCACGGGAATGCTAGAAAACACTGCAATAGCCGCTATACTGATCAATTTCACCTTTGCTCTGAAAACACAGTGGGTCACTCACTCAGCCATTCAGGGAACACTTACAGGGTTATTCACAAAAGGGTGAAGAGTTTGGAGAAGGCAGGAGAAGTGAACAATCTAGGACAACATAGCTGAGCTGGAAATATTCTCCAATTCAGCTCACTTTCCAGATCAGCTATGTTGTCCTAGATTGCTCACTTCTCCGGCCTTCTCCAAACTCTTCACCCTTTTGTGAATAACCCTGTTAATATTTTTTATGAATATGTGACATCACTGGAGCCCTGTGGCCCAGCCAGGGATAATTGATGTATACTTATATTGCACATTGGAACAAATTTATAATTTTCCCCTTAAAGGATAATTCAATCCAAAACAAAAAGCATGCAGTTTAAACAGCTATAGGTGCAACCATTCTCATATATTATACTGTGATTACTAGTTCTGCTATTAGGTGGTGATATGTTAATGCTTGTATAATGTATTTTGTATGTTTTTGTAAAACTACATGTTTATGATGTAGTTTCCTGCCTCTATGTTGCTGTTTAAAAACAAGAAGGGCTCCGCCATGTGTTCGGTAACATCTTGACTGGTAAGAGCCATATATGCAGGAGTTTTGCAACAGTTCTAAATTGCAAATTACCAGTTCTTACATATGGTGTCTGTATTAGTTTTATTTTTTTCATGGTTAAGAACATTTTAGCAAGTAAATACCTGTTAAACCTGCCAGAAATGCAGTCACTTCCTGTGAGTTGAACTGGTGTCTATATTTCTTTCTGTAAAATAACAGTCTCCTCATGCTCCATAAAATGGACATGGACAAAGGCAAACATGCTTGACGCCAGCCTGTGTGACAACCAGGGCCGGTTTCCCACAAGGCCAACCAAGGCCCAGCCTCGGGGCAGCAGGGGTGTGGAATTTCTATCTCCCGATGCCCGGGACATGCAGTTCTGGGCGCCGGGTGGGTAGTTTTCTACATTTAGCCCTGCTTTGGGAAGCAGAGCTAAATGTACAGCAGGGAAGCCACCGCTTGTTTTTGTACGCATTTATGCAACCTGCAGGTCTGCTATTCTCCATGGGGGACTGGTGGGTGGGCCGTTAGGGGGCGCATTGAGGAACCTGGCCTCAGGGCAGCAGAGAGAGTAAATCTGGCCCTGGTGACAACCATGGCTCCTTCCTAGATACAGTACAATAAGTGAACGTAGTCTCTCGGAGACAGGAAGTGTGTTATTTGCAGAACTAGCATGTGAAAATAAAAGAAAAAACCTGTCTGAAAAAAAAATGTATATAAAATATATTTTTGTATTTAGATAAGCTTTCATTTTCATTGTGCATTTAAATTCACCTTATTTACCAAGATAAAGGAACAGTCTTTACTTTTTTTCCCTCCAAAACTGAATAGATAACGGAGAGATGAAAAAGATAATTCCTCTATGCACATATGCTTAGAGCATTTATAATTATGCCTATAATTTTAATTACATTTTGTCCCTAGAACAACTTTGTAATGAACGCTTTAGTGAATTATCAGTATGAAAAGTTCCTATTCTAAAATAAATCGCATAGGCAAGTCACGATTTAAAATTTTATTCCATCATTGATTGATTTCCAGTGAGAGAAAGCTAAACAGAGGGTACAAAGCCAGTGGAAACACAAATATATAACACACATAGGCAGAATAGATTGCTTTGAAAAACATGCTAAATCATAACTACATAATTAAATAGATGGTCAGGGCTGAATAAAGAACCTTGATGTTCATCCTTCTCAGCTTAGTTGAGAAATAAAGCCACAGATCCCAAACACCTACAACCCTGACTGCTCCAGTTCCAAGATTAAAAGAAGCCCTCAAAGTTTTATTCTTTTAGGTTTGAGTGCAGCGTGGAAAGGTTAGAGACCCTGGTTTTAGTGCTGTGTCTCCACTGGGAAGATACACCCTATTTGTCAGGGACAGAAGGTGATGGGAAATTCAGTTTTACAGTTGCTACTGGAACAAGAAGTAAAATGAAATCTTTTCAGTGGGGACACCTGTTCTGGTGACAATTGTCTAAAAGGGGATTTCCTCTCACTCATCGTAAGGATCTTCTCTGACATCCTGTTGCATCTCCAGGAAATGAATTCCCTTAATAGGACACAGACAGCAAAAAAAATAGACTGACTCCATCCAACACTTAAAAGAGTTTTGGATATATATAGGTGTATATATACTCATAACATATATATATACTTTAAAATCACAGACTGATTGCATGAATAAGATTTCAGAATAACTTGATCTTTTTTCTCTTCTCTAATTGATGTATAGACAAATCAACATACTGCTAGTGATTGAATAAAAGTGCATAAACCCCAATTTGATTTTTAAGAACCCTTCTATTATTTTGTCTGGAGTGTCTTCTAAGACAGTACAGAACCCTTTCATATAGCGAGAGCTTAAATTTGTTTCTTTAACCACTTGCCATCCGCCCGTTGTAAATAAACGGACGGACGGCAAGCTTCCTACAGCGGGGAGCCGTAAATTTGCGGCTTTTTTTTCCTTCTGCTCGCGCGCACCCCCTAGCGCGCGCGC